AAGTCCCAGCTTTTGTGCAAAACAAACCAAAAGTCTCGATATTTTAAGCTACTGGTTTCGAGAGGACTTCTTCGCATAACGAACAAGGAAGGATACAAGCAATATAGTGCTGTACAACAAAGAATCAGTTATGGAGTAAATCTTGACAGACAAATAATCAGAATAAAACACAATTGATAGAAACAGCACAACACTACTCACAAAATAAAAAAACAGCTACTTTTGAACAGTCAATAGCTTTCTGCGGTTCACCAGACCCAAGGTAGCTTCCAACTTTTACGGACGCAGCAATGTTAAAACTGAGTGATACCTGTGGACAAAACTGCCATTAGAGAGGGGCACATATTCAACTCAGTTAAGAAGAATTAGAAATCGTAATACGTTTTGAGTACTTGTTACTACCTTACTTCCGAAGGTAGGTTTAGGACACTGAGAAGCTATATTTATCGAGCAGTGTCTTGGTCCTTCTCTCGGTGTGAAAAATTTTGTATTTAATACTACCTTACTTCCGAAGGTAGGTTTAGGACACTGAGAAGCTATATTTATCGAGCAGTGTCTTGGTCCTTCTCTCGGTGTGAAAAATTTTGTATTTAATACTACCTTACTTCCGAAGGTAGGTTTAGGACACTGAGAAGCTATATTTATCGAGCAGTGTCTTGGTCCTTCTCTCGGTGTGAAAAATTTTGTATTTAATACTACCTTACTTCCGAAGGTAGGTTTAGGACACTGAGAAGCTATATTTATCGAGCAGTGTCTTGGTCCTTCTCTCGGTGTGAAAAATTTTGTATTTAATACTACCTTACTTCCGAAGGTAGGTTTAGGACACTGAGAAGCTATATTTATCGAGCAGTGTCTTGGTCCTTCTCTCGGTGTGAAAAATTTTGTATTTAATACTACCTTACTTCCGAAGGTAGGTTTAGGACACTGAGAAGCTATATTTATCGAGCAGTGTCTTGGTCCTTCTCTCGGTGTGAAAAATTTTGTATTTAATACTACCTTACTCCCGAAGGTATTTTAAGACACTCACTGAGAAGCCATGCTTTTCGAGCAGTGTCTTTGTATTTCTTCTTGGTGTGACCATAACTCGTGATAATTCGTTTTTAAAACAGGTGACAATTGGAAAGTTTTTTAGAGGTGAGATTAATGGGATGAACATATAAATAATATACTGGACACTAACCATGAACAAGGTGGAAACGAGATTGAAAATCACACTCTGTGTTCCTACCTCGACCTTACCAACTAATCCTGCAAGACATAAATTCAAACCATTTTTTACAGCCGTCTTTGTTACACAGAGGTGGAAAGAGACACTTTTCCAGGCTCTATGAGTTCACATGACCCTGTGACACCTAGAAATGTTATGAAAACAAGGTAAAAGTTTAGAAGTCAAATCAGGGGAAGAAAAGAAACGTGCAAATAAAAAACGTGAAAGAATAGGATTTTCGACATACTGTTTTCATTTTTCAGATTGCTGATTAATTTTGTTTTATGAAAGGAAAGAAGAAACCTTCCAATCAATGAACAATGTCAATAAACAAATAATTTCTATCAACTTAAAACTAATTTGTTTACGTGAAGTTACTTTAGATTTGATGAATGCGATCTTACGAAAGAAATAAAAAACAAATCAGGATAAAAACTCTTACCCATTAAAAACACTCCGGTCTCCGCTGATCCCCAGTCAAATAAAATCATAAGTGCTCCTGGAAGAGCTAGTTTAACAAACTGGCCCCATTGCAGGAGACATTCTCCTGACCAGCCTGGAATTAAAAGCGCAACAATATTAGAAATCGAAGTTCTTTCAGCTTGTTAACTTCTCATCCACTGATTTTCAAAGGCATACATTAAAACTTTGTGTGACAGTCATTTCGTCATATAGGGCTTTTGAGTTTGTGCGACAGTCATTTCACAAACTCGAACCTCTTCATTGATTATCCTGAACTAACATGACAAATATTATTAAGATGTTCCTGAAGGATGAACAAAAAGGGAATCGACAGATATTAGTGTTGCTTAATCCATCTGTCTATAAATATTAGCCAATCAGTAAGGGTGTGAGTTGTATCATGCTCACTAATTGGCCAATGGTTGATTGACAGATGGCGGAATGGTATTGTCACAACTGTCATTTGGTATCTGTCGATTGCCATTAAGTTCCCCAGTCAATCTCAGAAGATCAAAGATGCATTCGTTTTAGCAAGATAACATATCCGAATTGCAAAAGCTGTGTTAATTTTTTATAATCATTTAAGGATACCCTAAGAGAAAAAGTTTTCGTTTTAAAAGGTTTCGATCAGGAAATGGTTTTCCGGTACGTCAATCATCATGGCCCAATTTTCGTGTTCTCGCGAATTTTCTTGCACTTGCTATTTTCAGTATTAAACCTTGATATATTTTCCATTTTTTTCGAACCAAAGAGTCATTCTACAACTTTTATATAACTTGCTATAGCTATTTGAAATTTGGTTAACTGAAATACTTTGCTGCATTGTCGCCATTTTTGTCTCAGACTGTGCAATACTTTTGATCACTAATTGTATATGTAATTGCCCTGCTTTTCCATTTTTGCTGCAAAAAGTTCCCTTCAAATTCAAAAACAAAAACTATCGCAGCAATACTGAAATCTATTCAGGCAAAAAACGGTTTTAATAGTTTGCTGTTAAAAGTACCCTCTTCTTTTGTGCCAGTTACCATTGTCTTTACTTGCATTTTTTGTTCTTAAAATTATTAACCTTTTTAGACCATTTTTAATTGTAATTGCTATTCGTTATATTTAATTTGTAATATTTATGTGCTAATTCTTATCTTTATGTTTAACGATATGATCACAGGGTTGCTATGTACTTCCATGTTCCTAAAATATTGTCTGTAGCTTGTTGGTTGTAAACATCAGGTGAATAAAAACATCTTTCAGTTTTCTTAAATGTCATGCATTAAGGACTATGGTGTTAAAAAACGATAAAAGTTTAATTTTGCTACTTACTAGTATCACGTGCTCATTTAATGACGTCAAAAATTTGTTTCAATTCGGAAAAAACATTTCTGTTATAGTGAAACCCAACTTTCGACCTTCGAGCTTCGACCTTTGACTTATGAGACCTTACAAATAAAAATCTAAGGAAGGAAAAGCCGCAGAAAATCTCTCTTCAAATGCTTACGCAAACCCAAGCATTGCAAAATAAAACTTACTTTTAAACAAGCAAAATATATCATAAACTTTATTACCTGGCCAGGCTTGCAGAAGTCTCTTCTTCCGTATGTAACAAAAAATTAATAGGCATAAAACCAGGTATGTAAGGTCAATAACGATGGCACTGCCTCTGAAAAGTGAATAATATATCTTTTTAGGGCCGCGACTCTGATTACTTTGGTTAAAACGAAAACTTACAATGCGTGCCAGAATCCCTTTGAACACCCAAGCAGTGTCAGCCAATTCACCATCAATGTTCAATTCAAACCCC